GGCATGCACCACTGTACCCAGCATAGCATTGTTACATTTCTTAAGTCTGTTTGAGTCTTTCTTTTTGTCTCACTTGCTGTGGAAGCCAGGTTGAGGGCCCCCACAGAATGTCACATATCTGGATTTATGTATTTCACCATGGTATCTTTTTGCTTGTTTTCTATTTATTATACCATGGAAACTAACTCTCAGTGTTTAATGCTTTCATTTTTTTTTCTTTTTGCAAAAATTTCAAAGGCAATCCTGTATAAACTGTTTGACTAAGATTGCCAGATTCTTTGTACTGCTTAATAAAATACAAAATCAGAGGCAGGAAGATCACAAGTTAAAAGTTAGCATGGACAAGTTAATGAGATCCTGTGTCAAATGAAGAGAGTGAGAGATTTAGTTCAGTGGTGGAGCACTTGTCTAGCATGGCTGAATCCTTGGGTTCAGTCCCATATGTATATCACATATATATTTCAAAATATTTGCTGACCCAACCCCTAGGGATGCTAACATCGATGAATGCTCAAAGGAGGTTGACAGCCTCATCTCTTTACCGAGGGTAATAGCTGATGTGTGGAGCTCTTGGCTTGACCCATTTACTCTATTGGTAGTTGCAGAATGGCACTTTTCCATCAATCTCCCATATTTCTTAGCTGGAGCGGTAAAAAGAACTGCCTTCATCAACTAAGACTTTTTGTTACCTTGATAAAGTGATTGCACAGGGAAGGAAGAATGAATGTTCTGTTTTTTTTTATTATCTTAATTGCCCATGACAAGAGTAAGAAGTTACTGTTGGATCCTTCTTCTTTTTTTTGTTTTCTTTTGAGAAGAGGCATGAGAAAGATTGAATAGAAGTGGATGTGGGATACACTCAAAAGTGGAGTGTAGGTGCTCAGAGAAATGAGGCACGAGTGTTGGTTCATTTTTTGTTGTTTTTTAGGTAAATGTAGAACAGTTGCCTGTTACAAAAACTGACCATGAATCTTCAACTAAGTAAATAAATGTGTAGCCTTCAAAGACATGGAATTTCTTCTGTCTGTGTTCCACAGTCATATTTTGCTTTGCTCTGCTTGACTTCTGTAGACAGGTGGTGCTTTGAGAGGTGAACAGAAGACTTCTTTGTCAGCTGCTGGTTTTCTTTTCCTCTAGCAAGGAGAGCACATCCTGCCTGTCAAAAACTCTGGCCATTTCTAGAGTGCCTTTGCCAAAATCACTTTTTATACTTGCATGTATGCCTTTACGAAGTAGTCATTCCATTAGCTGCTCATGATTATTGAGCACAGCACATGAGAGGTGTCTTTCCATCTTTGGCCTTCATATTCACATTGGCCCCAGCCTTGAGGAGCAAGGCCACCTTCTGGCTTCCTGACATTGTGGGGATTTGCATGAGTAGCGTCCACCCTGAGCAGGCATCCACAGCATCTACCTCACAGCCGTGCTTTGGGAACCAGTCATAGGGCAGTGGCCTCCATCTGCAGCCCAGTGCAGGGCTGTGCAGCCTGTCAGGTCTGTAGCATCCCCAGAAGCTCCACGTGTTTAGAGATATTTCACAACATCTAAGTGTCTTGCATAGCATGCAAGCATTAGACTCTCCTTGCCACTTCCACTCTTCAGATTACTATCTGTGTCATTGGAAACTAGATTTTCACAAGCCCGATATATTCTTTCTGGGCAGTGACCATCAGAGCAGTAAAGCCAGACTTATTGGGAACATCAACTTTAATATGGCCTCCTGCAAGTAAAACTTTTCATCATTCACATATTCACATTGACAGCCTGATGCACCTATTTGATATTTATGCATTCTCTGGTTGTACACACTGAGAAGACTAGTCTGTGTGGAGGACCAGTTGAGCTGCTCTCCTTGAAAGAAGAGCAATTGTCTCCATTTTGACTGACCCTGACCCTATTTCCTAGTATTGATATGTAGAGTTGGCTAGGACTTCTGTGTATCCTTTCAGTTGGCCTTAAGCAATGTCTATTGGTCTAGCTGAGGTGCTGGTGATAGTCTTTGAAGGTGGCATGTGTTTTCCTGGTAACCTACACATGCTGCTCTTTAATGTGAGCTGGGTCAAGAAAGGACGAAGAGCCAATGCTCCGCTCTGCCAGCTGGGATCAAGCCTAGAGACAGAGGCTATGACTTCCTGGGGCTTGAAAGACTACATCAAAGCTGAAGCATCAGACCCTCCAAAACATTAGATACTATCTCAATAGATAAAGCAGATTACTACCTCTGCATATCTTCTCTGCATATGGCAGAGGTAAATGTAGGCCACCCACCTAGCTCAGCTCACAGTACTCACCTACTTCTCACAATTCTCCGTTATTCCTCCTTAAGCCACTCCTCCACTGAATAAAACTGGGTGAGGCCCTGGGTCAGCCTCTTTGTTCTGGAAAGCCATTTTCATGGCTGGACGTAGGGCCCCTTGGCTCCCCAATAATTATAAATATGTTTTAGTGTCTTTTCTTTTGCCATGGGTTGTACTGGGAGTGGTAGATTGGAATTAACTTGGTGGGATTCAAATAATATATGTTTATGATTACAAATATTAACTTCTTAGAGAGGAGAATCTGGTGGGGACTCCTACGTCTGTACTCATATCCCCCAGCGGGGTTAGTGACCTTCAGTCAAAGTCTACATAGTATCCTTGGTTCCAGATCTTTGACAGTGTGCTTTGTTGTATGTCCCATATGAATGATAGCATAAGTGCACATTTTGGGGTCCTCTTCCTCAATTGAGAACCTAAGCCAGTGCTCTTGAGGTCCTGCCATTCTGCTTTCTTTTCCAGATCCCCGTATAACCCAGTGCTGTAATGAGCTTTTAACAACAGCATGGTATTTGGGGCTCCATGGTCAGATGTTCCCAGGCCCAAGGGCCATCACTGGTGCTGCCCTGCCTCTAATACTCTGTTCCACAGCTGGCATCTCTTGAGTTGCCCTAAGTGTTTGTTCTTTAAAATGCAGTTGAAAACTATGTGGCCATTAAATCTTCCTTTGGGAAGTGATCAGGGATCATTGTGCTGAATGTGGTAGTTGATTTCTGGGTGTATTTCCCGGTAAGTTCCTCTCCTTCCATGAGACTGTGGCAAGACAGAATCCCAGGGAACAGAGCATCAGGAAGCTGCTATGCAGAGCAGAGGGCCTGCGTGCAGGAGGATGAAACCAAGCTTGACCCAGGAGATGACCCAGGACTTGAGAAACACATTCTCATTTTCTGTACCGGCACCAGAGAGGCCCTTAGTGCCTGTGTCTGTCTTTCTTGCCCTGCAGACACTGCAAATATGACCTGGAGCTGCTAGACCGGTACCGCCAGGCCCTGGAGGTAGCCGTGAACCTCTCTGTGAAGCACAACCTGCCCCCGCTGCCAGGCCGCACCATCTTGGTCTACCTGACGGACTGTAATGCAGACCACTTCTGTGCCAAGAGCAACACACAGGGGGTAAAAGGGCCAAACACCCCGCGAGGGCTGGGAGGACGGCCGGAGCTGAGAGGTGTGCTGAGTCCAGCCTGAGTTGCCTGCAGAGGAGCAGGCTGAAAGGAGTGACGCGGATTTGCTTCAAGCGTCAGCCCTCAGCTGCCTGGGGAGAATTCCTAGGACGGCTTATAGCACTAACTTTGCACCTTTTCATACATAGTATTTTGTTCTAAACTTCTGTTAGTAGAAATATGTCTCTTTTAATCCAGCGCAGCACTGGATTTGGGATAGGATTGTGGCTTCTTCCCTATTGCACCCCCAGCTCCTCTAGAGGGCGCAGAGGCTGACTGCTCCTCACTGCAGATTCTCTCCCCTTCCCGTTACCCCGAGCCAGTGGAGGCGCTTGGCCTGGGACCGGCAGGCAGGGGTGGGTGTGGAAGGAAGGGAGCTTTCTTTCACCTAGTGCTTATTCGATCAGCCCCCCCTCAACTATGTGCTGCTGCTGATGGCAATGACCGTGGCGCGGGCGGAGCAGGCAGAGGTCGTGCTGTGCGGACACGGCTCTCTGAAGACCGCTGAGCTTGCGGCAGAGGAAGGCATCCTGAAGACTGCCCTCAAACTCCAGGCTCAAGTGCAGGTCAGACACAGCTGACCTCCTACAAATACACAGATGCACACAGGCCTGGGAGCATCCCAGACAGTAAAGCCCTGAACGTGCAGAGGGTTGAGAATCCCCCACAGACCGTGACACGGCTTCTTTATTCACAGTGTTAGCCTGTTTCTCATTGCCTTAATAACAGGCAGGAGCTTGGCTTGGGTGGGGCCTCCTGGTGAATGGAAGAGCTCATCTCCTGAGAGGGAAAGCCAGAGGGTGACTGCTGGGTCAGGCTGGGACTTTGACAGCAACTCGTTGGTGCAGGACCATGGGGGGGGGGTCTCAGAAGAGCTGCCTTATGCCCTGAGGCAGCACCACAAGGACTTCGCTAGGCTCCACCTCTTCCTGCCTTCCTCAGATGGACTTTCCAGCCTCTTTGTATCACACAGTAGGAATTAAAACTTCAACATGTGAACACCTGAGGACACACACAGTCTGTGTGGGAACCTGACCATTGCTTATCTCATGTGCAACCAAGTGATGACGTGAGCTTCTTTCCTTTAGGAGTTGGAGGAAGGGGATGAGCATCCCAGGAATACTTATCAGAAATACCTGCTGTCTCTAGCTGCCCACAGGGTGCCTGTGAGTATTGCTCAGCCCCTGTGACTCCCCTTCTGCCCTACTTTCCTCTATAAATGATCGATCTCATTTTTGGCCTCTTCAAGGTGATCTTTCACAGTTTTCATACCATCTAGATCTGCTCCCTGTGCCGGGGGATTTCAGCACCAGCGATCGGCACAACTCAGTCTTGCTTAATCTGTTTGCTCATTTCGGTGGTGTCAATAATCGCACTGTGGCCAATCTCAGGCTACCAACGTACTGTCACTAAGCACAGAGTTGAGAAGAAGTGGTCAGAAGTGTAGGAATATGTCGTCATTCCATATCACTGACAGGGATGTAAACAAGGTAGTGGCAACAACAAAATATAGTAAGATAATATAGAGGAAATGACAAGTGTTGAGTGTTTATTGCCTTGGCCAAATATAATTAAATATAATTGATTAAATTTTTGTGGTGCTAGAGATTGGACTCAAGGTGTTACACACACTAGGGAAGTGTTTTCCCTTTGACCTATGAACCGAGAGCCCTTGTCTCATTTTTAACTTACACTATTTAACATATAAAAAGGGCATGTTGGCTCAGGGTGTGGATGAGTGGCACAGCATGTGGTTAACACAGGGAGGGCTGAGAGTTCAGTGCAGGGCACCATGAAAGAAAATAATGGTGAATTCAACAGCAAGCCCATGGAATTCCTAAAAGGTAAACCATCAGCGCTCATGAGAGTGAATGAGCTGGCTGCAGCACACTGCGTCCCTTGCCCTACTTGTACTGAGATGTCCAAATCAGTATGTGGTGACTTCCTTCATTCTTAAGTCTTCTCAGCTGTCAGTTTCTCCCTGAGTTCTTCCCATCCCTATTCATAGAAATCTCTCTGCTATGTCCTGTCTTTTAGTGTCTCTTCTGCCCCTGCTGCTGGGCTCACCACTCCTCTCTTGTCTTACAGGTGGACAGGGTCATACTGTTTGGTAACTTGCACTGTCACTGTATGCCACTTGTAGCCCCAAGCATTATCTGGCAGCATGTGAATCCCAAGTGTCTCTTTGTTACTGTCCTCCTAAGGCAAACAAATAGGTAAGGATGCCTGAGCTCCCTGCCGAGTGTAGGAAACAGTGATTTGGGCTTCTCCTCTGCTCCTGCCCAGCTTGGGAAATCCCACCTCTCTGGCACCTCCTGTCTCTGTGCTGTCTGAATTCTGGTACACATCAAGTTCCAGGACTTTATCCTCATTCTCCAGAATCCTTCCAGAAATGATTATCCTCATTCTCTACCCCTTTGGTAGGTGTAGCCTAACTGTAGCCCACATACTGTGTGTGTGTGTGTGTGTGTGTGTGTGTGTGTGTGTGTCTGCATCAAGTGCTGGGAATTGGTGTGTGGTTTTCCACTGAGCTACATCCCAGCCACACAACCCTGTGCAAAGTGAAGCCGTGGGCCATGGGGCATCCAGCTTGGGCACTGAGCGCAGAGATGCTGTCCAGGATTTGCTTCTGGTGTCCAGTGACTGCTGCTTTTTCTCAGATTTGAAAGCTGGAATCCTAGTTACGTGACACTTTCGGGCTGTACAGATGGGATACTGAGGTAAGTACAAAATGAACTTTAGGGGGAAGGCACAGCCTTTCTTGGGAGGTTTGTGAGAGATCAGTGTCCTCTATTCCAGGCACTTCTGTTCAATAGCAAAATAGTGCACCTTCCTTTTTTAGTATTAACTGGGCAAAGAAGCTAGACAGCATTAGGGGGACCCAGGCACTTGCTGTCTTGCTGCTCCACCATCCTCAGCAGCACCTACCTCATGGCTCAGGGTAGCGGCCTCAGCTCCAGCCATTTTGTATCCAGCCAGGTTTACATTAGATCCCAGAGAATAGAGGAAGGGGACATGGGAGATGGCAGTGCTAGCCTTTAAGGAAGCAGCTCAGCAGTTGGTCCTAGCACTCTGTGACCTCTGAGGCAGAGAAAATCCTTGTCTTTATGCTGAATTGCAGAAATGATCGACTTTGTCTGTTTCTCTGTTTTTAGCCTTTTATTCATGTAGTTAATTTTCTTTCATATGGCACTGGAGATTGAACCCAGGGCCTTTGTACTGAATTTTGTCCAAGCCTTTTTAAACTTTGAGACAGGGCCTTACTAAGTCACTGAATTGCCCAGGTGTGGTTTCAGCTTGCCATCCTATTGCCTCAGTTTCCCAGCATGTGGGGATGCAGGCATGCACCACCCCGCCTCCTGGCCTCTTCATCCTCTTCTTCTCTGCCTTTTCCTTTGGATGCCGCCTGTGGCCTCAGCTCCCCCTTCAGGTCTCGGGCACATTCACTCC